TAGTATGTGTGTAGCGCTGCTACAGGCTTTCGGAAGCAACGAGTTTGGAAACTCGGACAAGAAATTTTCGTCGCGTTTGCGCGCACAGTTCCACCGATATGGGTTGAGTAACGGGTTGCTGTATTATAGCACCAATTCAACGAATAGACCACGAATTGTGGCTCCTCGTGATGAGAATTTACCATACCGTATCCTCGATGGGGCTCACGAAACCCAACGTAGTGGCCGATTCGGTCGTGAAAAGACGTACATCTCGGTGAGCTGCCAATATTGGTGGCTCAAGCTGTTCAAGTGGACGAGCATATATGTGTGCACGTGTAAGACGTGTCAAAGGGTGAAAACCTCTCCGAATGCGGCGGCGCCGCTGGTCAGTTTTTACCGGTACCCTTCAGGGGTTGGCAGTCCATGAGTATAGACTTTGTGTTTGGCCTGCCGAAGGACTCGGCAGGCAACACGGTTGTAGTGGTCTCTGTGGGCTGGTTGATCAAGATGACTCATGTTGCGGCAGTGCCGAACACCATCGACGGCGTGGGTACAGCGACGCTGTTTGTCGATCGTCTCTTTCGACAACATGAACTCCCGGAGTCAATAGTCTCTGTAGAGACCCGCGCTTCACTGGGAAGCTCTAGTCTACAATATTTGGGGTGCTGGGCACCTAGTTGACTATGTCAACATCGCGGTGTTGAAGACATCCTTCGCAGCGCCTGCGCAGAGACGCCGAAGCGCTGGAACGCTATGTTGTCACTCGTAGTGTTTGCTTTGAGCAATGCAGTGCATCTATCAACCAGATATACGCGAACGAGCTTATCAATCCTCGCGTCCCGCTGAAGCCGCCATCCCATGGATCAGGGCTAGATGGGGAGGAATAACCGAACGGCTAGCTGATGTCAGCCCCTCATCGTGCGTAAAAAGTCGGAGTTTTTCCTTCTAACAGAATGAGGTTTACGACACGTTCGCGATGCGATGGCTGAAAGACAAGACATGCAGAAGGAATAGGGAGACGGAAGAAGAAATGTTAAATACATTGAGGTCGGAGACCTGATTTATTGAATGTTAAAAACCTTCCTACACATGCAGTTTCTGCTGTAGAAGCTCCGTCTACAGTATATTGAACTTTGAAAGGTCATAATATTTACCCTTTTCAACCTGCTTTAATTGCTGCTATTGGTGTCGTATGCTTTAAATTAGTTAAAGGCAATGTGATAGTTATGATCACAGAGTGAACATTATAACCGCATTCGTGATGAGCGATGCAGCATCAGGGCGAATCAACGCTCTTGTGCTCAAGCTTCGCCACCCTTTGACTCGAATTCGACATCGAGCATTGCACACTTTACTCTTTAAGCTTCGAGAGCATCTAATACACTACAAGGAACTGGAGCCACTGCACTGTACACTTGTGCCTGCTTTGCTAGCCTGTCTGGAGCCGCCGATGGGAGTGGAGACGCTGCATGTGCTACAATTACTGGTACAAAACCATTCGGAAGCATTTTTGGCTAGTTTACAGCACCATGGAGCAGCAGAGAAACTCCAACGAGCTGCTAATGCTAATCCCGAGCTTCAGACGAGCTTCGATCAGGTCAACAATCAATAATTGAATATCTTCACTCTGGTGCAACGTTTGATAATAATGGAACGTTCCTGTACTATTTTGTGCAGCTCTTAAAGCAAATTTACACGACAAAATTGGTGGAAGTAGATTGCAAGTCCAAGAAGCAGACAGGAAACCCAAAGGAAAACCTTCAGCCAAAGGCTGAACCAAAAATAGTCAGTAAAATGCTGACAAATCGACGATTAGCACCTAAAGTTGACGAGTTGGAAGCTTCTGGCTGGCGATTCGCTCAGGTTACGCTAGTGTCGGCGGATGATCAGTATTTGTTCGAGTTTGAGGTGAAACTTCAGCTAAGAACCGAGACTCGGGATATTGTGGCAGCTTGTGCGATATTTCGGAACGATATTTTGAGAAATTTTCCAGCTGAACTTTTCTTGCAGCGTCCATTGATACTGCAATATTTATTACATTTATTGCAGCAGCCACTTTTGCCCGAGATGCCGAGAATGATAAATGAAGAAAGCTCAGACATTTTGATGGAAAAAGCGATGGAAATATCTTTGGGTGTAAATTATTTTGATGAATTAGGCAGCGCAACTTATTCAAGCAAGCGTGGACATGTTTGTGGTGCAATAGTGATGGCAAGTCTTAAAGCAATCGAGTCGTTTTTGTATGCGCTAAGACTCTCACGAAGGGTAAGTCTAGATCCAACTTATGTGGTGCACAAGTCTCGTGCGCTAGTGGAGTCATCTGATTCGTACGAAACACTTCGCGTGTTGTATCCACGTGCAAGGGTGGAGGTTGGAGAAGACGTGCTTAGTATTTCCGAACGAAGGACTGACAGCCATCTAGAGCAATTTTCATTCAGTGGAGCCATATACAAGCTTTTTGTCTGCATTTTGCCGTTATTGCGATCGGCTAGACATCCTCGACTGCATTTGCTAAATCTTCTTATTTCGGCACTTCCTGATCTTCCAGAACAGAGCCGTACAGATCCTACGATTACGAGCGTTCAGCAACTGGATAAATTGCGGCTCGAGCGTATTTTTGATATAATCTGTGGGATCTGTAGACCCTTCCAAGCAAGCCAATTAGGTCATTCAGTGATAAACAGCGATCTTGAGCTAACGCATTCGATGACATGGAAATTTGTAGAACTTGTTATTAGGCTATTACGTTTGTATTCGGCGCATCACTTTTTGGTGGTGGATGTTAAATCTGAAAGTAATGAAGGGCGCTGTAGCACGAAAAGTGACAAAATTATTGTTCCACGACAGCTGTGGGAATCGGTCAAAACATGGATAGCTAATCCAGTATTTTCAAGCTTATTTGCTAAAAAGTGGGATAAAGACTCGATCATTCAAGATTTCTCACAGATCGACGCCACAATTTATGCTTTCGTTCAGTTAAAGCAATCTTCGAGGCAAGATGCAAAGCAAATTCTTGATTTCGTTGAATTTGCTAAAGAACACCGTGAAACAGATTTTGAGTTGAAGGAGAAACCAGACTTCTTAACTATTGATGTTGCGCGAAAAGCTCTTCAGGCTAGAACAGCCTTCGGTGAATCGAACGTCAAGGCAATTGCAGACGCTGCACTTCTGACAATTCGATCTGTCATGACGGCAGAAGCCGGAAATGACGACAGGAGGCCAACAGATAATGACCTGGAAAATATTCAGTTCATTCTTTGTGATCTGCTGAGTGGACTGGGTCAGATGACGACGTCTACGTCAAATGAAGCAATTGTATATTACTTCTTTCACGGATTTTCTGAATTGACTGACAGCCTATACAATGAAAATTCGCAAGGATTGAGCGATTACCGGCATCAGTGCTTTGTAAAAATTTTAGCTGAACCAAAGTTCTTGACGTTGTTGCTACTGATATTAGCTACACACAATGACGCAAATGATCAAGTAAATAACGCGGCACTTTGGGCAACTTTCCGTACAGCTTTGCATCAGCTAACAGGCGATAAGGTGGCACTCTTTGAACCGGTAATTCCATTGATTCAGCACTTTGCATACATCGAATCATCCGAAATGTCATCACAAGATCAACATCAAACTCAATCTAAATTAGCAGAAATTTTGATTGAATTGGAATCTATTGTACCTGACCATACGAGATACCTCTCGATCTGCCGTTGTTTGCTTCATAAGTCATCATACATTCGTAAGGCCGCTGCGTCAGGAATTCTTCGCATATTGTCTCGGACGTGCTCGACTAGTGCTGACTGGATCTCGAAACATAGAGAAGTCCTACAAGACCCATTTGGGGGACCTTACTCTAATGATGGCGAAAATGTGAACCTGGAAGTAACACTGATGGAGACGCCGTTGCCAGTTAGTCAGACAAAAGCATATACCCCGAATGAAAACGAGTTATCGGCACAGCTAAGCAAGTTGTCTCACCTGTACAAAGTAATTTCTGGAACTTCTTCAACCTTACAAGGCATGCGAGTAGCGGCACTTAAAGAGTTAGTGGTGGTGTTTGAAAATGCGTCAGCTGAGACGTTCACGTTGTTTGAAGAGCTTGCCAGATTCTCGGACCTTACTAAAATAATTCATGCAAGCCTCCGAACGGAAGCCGGTCAGATTAACTCCCCATTGGTTTATCAATCGCTTCTATTGCTTCGAACTCTATTATTTCGCAGCCGAATGCTGCGTTCTGCTGTGCAACATACAAGTGATATGGTGGAGTTATATTTTCTATTAATCTTTCATCCATTGAGCTCAATTCGGGCCCAAATGTACTATATTATACTTCTATTGACGTGCTCTGCCGAGAATTTTATCCCTCACAAAGCACAAATGGAATATCTGAAAAATGATGACGGCTCAGAAATTATAAACGCAAGAATTCCCGATATGCTTAAATCGACTTTTGGCTTGTATTCAAATCGCTGGGCGCGATGTTTCGTTGTTACCCTTTCGCTACAACAACATCTGCAAGCTACTTTTAAGCAACTGACCACGCAATCGAATGTGTTATGGTTACAGGAAATCCAGTCGATTGTTTGTCAGAAATCTAGTGGCTGTTGCACAGACGAAATGGGGCTCAGGGGAAGCGATCACCTTGCTTCGGCTTTAAGTGCAGAATACGCCTTCATAGCTCGCAGACTTCGAGAGGCACCCTCGCACGGAAAGTGCTTGAACGCACTATATCATTTGATGATGATATGTAAAGCGTGGTGTGTTGGACGCGAACATTTTGTGAACGAATGGGAGGCCGATTTTGAACGTTATGTCACCAAGCCTCCGAAAAGTGATCGAGACGAAGTAATTTTAGGGTCGCTTGTCAGCACTCTTAGCATTGTTTTCAGTGCAATGACTAGAGAAGAACAGCTACGAGCTCTTGTCGTCGTGAAGCGCAAATTTCTTCCTCTTCTTAAAATATCGAAAAGCGCGATATTTCCTCTCCAGATGGCGCGTTTATTGCTTAATGTGAGTACATCAAAGGTGAAAGACTTGTTTTTGTCACTCGCTGCTGATACTGATATCATCTCGACAATCTGCACGAAATATTCAGCAGCTTATGCGATTGAATCGGTTCTCCACAGTTTGATGCTAGAAGTTCTGCTTCAATTCGCCCAAGGCGTGGGCGAAAATGCAACTTCTCGTCTATCCAAGCCTTCCCGCGATAAAATTTGCAAGCGACTTGTCGAGATGATCGCACCATTGCTTACGGTTGTATGTCGCCACCGCATACCAGGCTCATTTATGAAACGGGACGTCTTTATTGCTGCATCTCAATGCATGATCGCCATTTTACAGACGCTCCCGAGTGCGTCTCTTACGTCCAGCAACAGTACTCTGCAGCATACAGATAGCAGTATTCTTCTCGATGGTAGCTGGGCGTCTCGATTTCTGTTTGACCACGTCTCACCGATTCGTGAGCTTGGCTATCGTGTCATCGAACAAAATGCAGCTATAAATCCTCCATCATTACAACTTGTGGAAATGGCTGCTGAAATATCGACGGATAAGACCGAATCGGATGCTGTACGTGCAGCAGCATGTTCGGCTACAATGCAAAATATACTCCAGTTTCACGAGCGCACTAAAGAACAACAAGCTGCGCTGTCAACGATTTTTCATGGTAATACATTCGCAGGAAAAGTGGTGCGCATTCTTTTCAGCATCTTGAAAAGCAACAAATTACTTGTTCATACTGCAAGCGCATTTCTGCGATTAATTCGAGTAACATTTGTACAAAACGACACTATAGCATCGCGTTTTGGGGATATGCAGAAAGAGCTGGAGAAAGCTCAAGAGGACTATGATATCTACCCGCTCTTAATTCAGGTGAGAGCACAATATTTACATTTCCGGTAAAGTCACTGATGTTTAGAGTTTGCACAGGCTCTATCCGTTCGAGAATGGAAGCTCAAATGTTATCGCTATTGCTCGAGCTGTATGCTCTTATCGCATTGCGATGACATTGCATGGAGACACTCGCTGCTTCCGGCTATTTTAGAAACAATAAATGAACTTCTTAATCTCCTACAGACAATTTGCCGCAGGAATGAGTTTGATCAAGTGGCGTTCTTCCTCTTGGTAATCTAGTCACTTTTTGCCGTTGAGCCCTAAACGTGCCTAACTTTTTTTTGATCATTTCTTTGTCCTGTTGGCATAGCATACAACTTTGCAGTACCAAGTTATGGAACTTGTCAAAGAGATTTATGATTTGATGGACGACATACACTTAGAAAACAAGTATTATGAGGTTCTTGATCTATCCGCAAGCACCCTTAGCATTTTGGCAATGCAGACTTTTGATCAGAAAAATATCAGAGATTTTTTATCATCGACAGCATCGGATATAGGGGCGAATTTTATACTCACGGTGGCAAAGCTGCTAGAACCTCAGCACCCGATTAAATTTCGAGTGTCATTCTGTCGAGCTGTGGCTGCGGTTCGTGTAATGCAGATGTCGTTACCTTTATTTGCTGACCAACCATCTATACTTTCGTTTAGGTGTCTCTTCTGATACCTGGATCGTATCAGGCTATAGATGCCGCTGTAATTAAGTCACTGTGCTCCAATTTGTTTGAACTCTACCAAGAGCTGGCTCAGCTCAGACTGGCTGATACAAAGTCTGCATCTGAAGCTAAAGATCGCGCTTCTTCATTGGCTTCTATTCGACGTGTAGCATGTGCACTACAAGTTTTACTTGAATCGAGGCAACCCTCTCTTCGCCCACTTGTTCACATTAAGCGTGGAGTGCCTTTTGCAATGACGAGTATCAAGGAATTGTTTACTGCGATACGCATAGCTGGTGGACTTAGCGGCAGCCGAAATAGGAGTTCAAATGATGTCAGTGCGAGTTCACGGGATGCATACGTGCTAGATCTCTTTAGCTGCATCCAGACACATATGGAAATCTTGACTTCTATTATCGGAGGCGACGAGGACAACCAGCAACTAGTAAAGGTACGTAAAATGCTACCACATGAGATAATTCTAAAGTATTCGTGTTGATGTCTTCATGCTGGTTAAAGGACGAGGGTCTTCTCCATGTCATTCTAACGAATTGGAACATGATGAAGACGGCTCATATGCGCGGGTCCGAATTAATGATACGCACTCTGTATCTTCTGGCAAATTATATTTATGGGAATGACAAAGCGAAGAAATCGCTGCTAACGTTTCTGACGCCTGGTACTGGAAAAGGAGACACTTCCACGTCCCTGGTTTCACTGTTGCTGGATCTGGCGAACTTTCGAGGTGAGATGACAGCATTCAACACCCAAGGGAATTTCGGTAAAACCATTCCATCCGAAGCGGATATGGCACTGAGCAACGCTGCATGTCAAGTGCTTAAAGCTGCTCTACTAAATTCAGACTGTATGTTAAATTCTGTCAAGACGGGGTCGATTCCAAAGTTGGTTAGCTCGCTTCAAGATCGTTTGAGGTACGTTCGACAAACCAGCAAAATGAACTACATAGAAAATGAAAACCTTGGCAACATGCTAAGCGTACTTAGCAGCATCGCTTGCTCCGAAGAAGGGGCGCGTTACTTGTACACGAGCGTGGGAACTGTGCTTTCCTTTGTGTTTGACGATGTATTTCATCTGTCCGATCAAAACATTCGGCATCACGGGTGCTTATTCGTGCGAAATTTGTCCCTCTCTCAAGCGGCCAAGAACCACTTCGCTTTCTGGGAAGAACTACTGGATCCGATGGTTGATCTCTGCGTTCGTGCCAGTGGTGAAACGCCCAGAGACCTGATTTGTTTGGATTACATATCAGTGGCTCTCTGGTCGCTTGTATACGACAATCAGAAAGCGCGTGCTTTGTTGCTGTCGAAACCTGCAACGTTACGAAGCTTGAAACAAGTGCTAAGCTCCCAATCGTCTGGTACGTGAATCTTTTTCGTGACCGAGTGCTAACAAACTGAACTCCTTTTTTGATTACACTGTTTCCTTAGACGACATCGGGAAAAACTTACAGCGCGTTTTGATGCTCGTCGAAGCTTAGAATTTACATGGTGATGATGATATTCACCTATTTTTTACATATTTATCAGTTTTTTCAACACTTTTAGAGCTACAATCGACGATGACAGCACCCACACCAAATTACATCTTGCATTTCGGGCGGCTTCGGATTCCGTCAACATTTAAAGCGAGCTTTTTTTCAGGATGTATCAAAGTCTTCGCTTCTTCGCTGCTCCCAATTTTTCATTTCTTGACAAACTGATCACTTCGACGCAAACATGTGCCGTTTCTCCTAGACTCGCGACCGCTTTCACCGAATGTGAGCTTACATCATTCGCAAGCCAAATGTTTTTCTTCTCAACATTCGTACGTTAATGTCAGTGGTGCTGGTCAAAGTTTCACACACTGCTGATCCTTACGTACTGAGTAGACGTCACCTTTTCCATCTTTGTTGTAGACGGCGTATCAATTGCAGTCAAACCGCACACCATTGCACCGGCAAAATGCTGGTAATCAATGCTGATAATGTAAGAATCACTATCATCACGCCGACACAAACCTAACTTTTCAGCATCGTCACTGTCAGTCTTCGCTCGTGACGGTTGCAAGCTCTGATGTTTTGATCGCACTAAATTTGGGTAGCTACTGGCAAACACCTCGATGGACAACTGTTCATTAGTCCTTAATGTTGATGCATCGGCTTTTTCATTACTAACGTCTTTTTCAATCCTTCAATCGTAGGTAGTATAAGCCTACTCACGCACATATTGACGCACACTCTTTTGTTACCTCTTGCTGACGGGCTCCTCCAGCTTTTGTTTGCCAACTTACGCTTACGCACTAATGGGAACAAAGGATACCGTTCACCATGACGCACGTAAAATACCAGCACTTCTAGAAGTACATTGGTCCACTTTCCGCTCAGCATGATGTTTTTGCTGTCTTTGAACGTGAATTTCGTCATCTCGCTTCCAAGAAGAAATCGCAGCACTCCTCTATACATTGATTCTCTAAATGTTTTCGCTTCTAGCTTCGAATTTTAGCAGCGCCAGAATTTGATCCTTCCGACTTCCCGATTCTTCTCCCAGACGTGCTTGATCGAATAAAAAATCGATGTGAGGTTTGTCTACCTATGATTCATAGGAAACCATTGTACAAATGGATACGTTGTCGCATGGTACCGTGGTTATGACCCATGTCATTTCATTCGGCGGATGTAAGTGCCAAGTCAAAGGCAGCGAAGCATTTTAACTTTCTCGAAAAATAAAAGAAGACTAGTGCTTCAGCTTAATTTCAGGATGGCCAGATCGATCGAGCATTCAGATTGCACGACGAGTGCACAGGACGACTGCATGTACCCAGAGAGACGACGACTGGCGCTCGCCGTTAGCGCTGGACCAGAAAATGAGGTTTTGTACTTATACCACAAGCAACATCTACGCCATTCACCATATATTTTCCGGAAACATGCACCTCTGATGAAGGTGATGTCACGTCGGCTGCATATCGTATATGGCATATCAGCGCCCGAGATCACGCTCTCGACTACGAATGACAAATATCACAGTATCATTATGCATTTCCGTGTTGTCATATTGTGTGGGCTGGCCGGACACCGAGTGGTCTGCAGCTTCCGCCGTCGATGAAGCTGAGACCTGGTTGATGCTGGTGTTTGATGTCGGCAATTCGACAGTGTTGATTGTCAATCCCGAGGTCGATGCTGCATCATCTAGCGTTCCAGGGGCGGCCACGGTTTTGCCAGGTGGCTGTGATGATTGATTCTACACCAAGTGACCACTCTAGTTGTCCGTTCTAATGTTGTTGTCATTCGGTGGCGGACGGAAGCTCATCGCTATCAGTGATTGAAGGTTGTGTGCGCACTTCCAGGCGCCCTCATGGTTGGTGCAAAAGATGCCAACTGGACAGACGTGACAGTGATGGGGACTTGCGTGGTAGCCGATAAGCTCGGAAGTTTAACTCATGAAGAAATCAACAACTTGACCAGGGTTTTTCGTGATTCGAGATGACAATAACTCGATCAGTATTAAGTTTCTTTGTCGCTCATTTCCACTACTTTTAAGAAGCAGCATCCAGCTTCACTACAATACATTTGCAACAGGAGAGCTATTGATTTTATCTCACTCAGTGTAAAAAGCATTTTATGATTTCGAAGTTCTGTTTTGATCACAAGAAACGCTTGAGGTAAGATTCTAAAGTCAAGATATACTCAATTCTTGTATTTCAATTTGCAAATGCAGCTTTTGAAGCAAGTCAAGTCGTCATTAAGCGGTACTCACATGAGAGTGTCACCACGTAAAGCAACATGAAATTTAGCATTTTCTTGCCACCTTGCGCTAGCGACAGTCACAAAGTGCCCGTTCTCTTCTACCTGGCAGGACTCACATGCACCGACGAGGTACGGCACCTGAAGCACAAAGGTGGCAGCCAGTCGAGGTATTGCCACTATGACAACAGACACAAGTCCACGTGACGTGAGCATTCCATGCTCGTGATAGGCTTTTGTCTGCTTGAGAAAAATGTTTGAGATCTCACGCATGAATTACCTTCTGCTGAGATGCACATACCGGGACATTGAAACCATAAACACTGTAGACCAAAGCAATTGGTGGTCGTTCGAAGGGTTTTACAAGATCGAAAACTGAGTCTTTCGCATAAAACTTTGCACGCATTGATTCCAATTGTGCAAAGATTGAAACGTGAGCTGCTATTTCGTGATAAAAAATCACTCGAGGCTATTTCAGCGCTGGTGTAATTGCAGATCCGTTCCAACTCATTTTTAAAAGTATCTTCTGTTGAAAGCGAACTATGACAAGAACAACGTTGTTTTTGGCTGAAGAACTTGGCGTCGAACCTACGAGAGCAAGTCAACAACGAGATTGTAAGTACACTTAACAATAAGCTATGATATTTTAACACACCATTGATGTTTGCCTTAATGATTCTTTCTTTTCGTTTATTGCATGTTATCAGCATTAATCCGCTTGCTCATCGTATATCCGACCAAGCATCGGGTCACGATTAGCGCAGGCAGCACCTTTTTTTATCTCATGCAAGTGAATCGAATCGAAATTTGTTGTACTGGCACTTGATAAGAGCATATAGCGTCAGGAGACCACGACGTAATCTGAGCATGTTATTGTTATATTGCAATAATTGCTAAAAAACATGAATGAGCCACATTAAATACGAGTGCTCAAGTCTCAGGTGAATACTTGGCGGTTGATTATTGGCTGGATGAATGCTTAAAGTTTTCTATACAAAGATATGAAACGCGATCCTAAATCAATCAACTGGCTGAGAATCCATCAGCTAAATTAGCTTGGAGTTTTGTCATTTTGTAATCATCAACCTCTGGGGAAGACAGTGAAGATTTTCTGTGCGATCTTTGAAGCGTGTTGTCGGTGCGAGCGGATGTGAGCGA